TTCTTTCCCTGAACATGTTTTTGAGATTCACCTGTGTTCTTGAGCATATTAGTAATTCCTTCCTTGATGTTGCTGTGTGATAGTCCCTCACAGGAATGTATAACAATTTGTTTATTCATTCGTCAGTGGATGGACATTTGGGTTATTTCCAGTTTGGGGCTATTATAAATAGAGCTGTCATGAATGACTGAACACGAGTTTTCGTGTAGACGTGTGCTTTTATTTTTCTTCGGTAACGCCTTGGAGTGGGATTGCTGGGTCGCATGCTAAGTGTATGTTTCACTTTATAAGAACTACCAAACTGTTTGACAACGTGGCTGCACCATTTTGCATTCCCATCAGCCCTGTGTGGAAGTTCCAATTGCTCCAGATGCTGGCTGACAGCTGGTATTATCAATCTTTAAAATTTTAGCCTAGAATGCGGGTGTGTGGTAATATCTCATTGTGATTTTAATGTGCATTTCCCTAATGACGGATGATATTGAATATCTGTACATGTGCTTATTTGATATTCTTTCTTCTCTGGTCAAGTGTCTGCTTAAACATTTTCCCCATTGAAAAAAATTGTCTTCTTATTACTTATATATCTAGAATACAGGTATTCTTGATCTATTCTACTGCAGAGTCAAGCCTTTCATCAGCTATATGCTTTGCAAATATTTTCCCCATTTGTAACTTGATTTTTCATTTTGTCAATAGGGTCTTGAAGATCAAAAGTTTTTAATTTTTATGAGGACTAATGTATCCATTTTTTTTCTTTTATATAGATGATCTTGTGTCCTAAGAAATATTTGCCTAACCCAAGGCCATAAAGATTTTTCTCCTGTGTTCTTTTAAAAGTTTTATAAGTTTCTCTCTCATATTTAGGTCTATTAGCTCTTTGGTCCATTTCAAATGAATATTTCATGTATACTGTGAGAAAAGGGTCAAGGTTCATTATTTTTTGTTATGGATATCCAATTGTTCAGCATCATTTGTCGAAAAGATTACCATTTTCCCGTTAAGTTGATGCCTTTTTTATAAAATCAACTGATCCTATTTGTGTGGGTATATTTCTGGATGTTCCACTGATCTACAAATCTCTCCTTACATCAGTAAAAACTCTCTCTTGGTTACTGTAGCTTTATAGTAAGTCTTGAATTCAGGTACTTGAAGGCTTCCAATTTTGTTCTTCTTTTCAACGTTCATTCATGGAGTGCCAGCTGTGTATCCAGTTCTGCTCGTTTATTCACTGATTCATTCAAGAAAAATTCTAGAGTGTCTATTATGCCAGGCTCGGCTTTAGGTGCTGGGATACAGTGGTGATAAAAATATACACACTCCTTGCCCTCATGGAATTTACAATCTATTGGAGGTTGGGGTTGGGGAGTTGGAGTGATAGAAATATATGTAGATTATATTTGTCAGATATATACTGTGTGTGTGTGGTCAGAGAGTAATAAGTGCTATGAAGAAAAATAAAGGAAGGAGGAGAATGTGGAGGGAAGGGCTCTCTGAGGAGGTGAGGGTAACCCCAAAAGAAGGGTGGGGTCATGGAGCATAGTCTCTTTATAAAGAGCAGAAGCGAAAAGAAGTGCCCAGAGACTGAGCAGAGTGGGAGATGTTTAGATAAGGTTTCTGCACTATATTTGTACGGAGTTTTAAAAGAAATCCACTTGGTGGTCATTTCTATGATAAATAGAGAGAGCTGGACAACAGTTGAGACTGACATGATCTTGGAAGATGAAGACAGTTATGTGAAGCACTGGATAAGAGTTTTCCAGGAGAGGGAACAGCAGATGCAAAGACCCTGAGTTAAGAAAGGGCTTGGCGTGTTCGAGAACCAGAAAGCAGGCTAACGAGGGGGAGTCTGAGATGAAGCCCAATAAATGAAAGAGACCAGGGAATTTCCTGGCGGTCTGGTAGTTAGAACTCCACGCTTCCACTGCCGGGGACCTGGGTTCTATCCCTGGTCAGGGAACTAAGATCCGGAAGCCACGTGGTACAGCCAAATTAAAAAAAAGAGAGAGACCAAATGCTTACAGGGCTTCGTGAGCCAGAGGTTAAGAGTTTGGATTTTATTCTAAGGGGGCAATGTATACCACCGGGACGCTCTAAGTAGAGGGAGTGTTTCTGTGTGTACTGCAGTGTAACTTAGTGGGTCCTGAGAAACCATTGGGGTGTGGCTGTACCATCCGGCAGCTTCCTGTAAACCCCCTAATCTGGGAGAGTTTATGAAAATATTCAGGAATGCACCTCACATTTTGACTGTTGAATTATCTTGGGTGCAAACAGGAACGCTTCATTTTATTAGTATGAGGTATGAGCTTTGATGTATGGGGGTTGGGGTGTGTGTGCGTGTGTTTGGAATTCTTAATCTTCATGAGTTATGAAGTATATTTCTACATTTCAACTAAACGAACACTGTTTATTCTTTATAGCCTTTCTCTGTCTCCAGCTTTTAAAACACTGTTTACTTGAAAATAATTTCAAACTTACCCACCAAGTTGCAAATATAGAAATAATACAGATTACCTGTATACCCTGTATCATATTTACCTATTAATTTTTAAATAATTTTTTAAAAAATTATTTTATATATTTATTTTTGGCTGCATTGGGTCTTCGTTGCTGTGTGCGGGCCTTCTCTAGTTGCGACGAGCGGGGGCTACTCTTCGTTGCATTGAGTGGGCTTCTCATTGCAGTGGCTTCTCTTGTTGCGGAGCACAGGCTCTAGGCGCACAGGCTTCAGTAGTTGTGGCTCGCGGGCTCCAGAGCGCAGGTTCAGCGGCCGTGGCTCACGGGCTTAGTTGCTCCGTGGCATGTGAGATCTTCCCTGACCAGGGCTCGAACCCATGTCCCCTGCATCGGGGACATGCATCTTAACCACTGTGCCACCGGGGAAGCCCCTAATATTATTAATATTTTACTCCATTTACTTGATTGTTCGGTTTCTCTCTCTCTCTCTCTCTCCGCCCCCCGCCACACACACACAAACTTTCTTCCTGAACCATCTGTGGCTGTTACATTCATCATGGCCCTTTTCTCCTGAATATTCCAAGTATGTATTTGCTAAGAATGGGGATAATCTCTCACACAGCCACAGTAGATTTAACAACTTCATACATTTATCCTGATACAACTCTTTAATTTATCATCCCTATTCCAGTTTCATCAGTTAGCCTGTGCTGTTGCTTTTGACATTCCCCCCCGCCAGTACAGAGTCCTGTCTAGGGGCAGGGTTCGCATTTAATTGTCATGTTCTTTTAGCCTCCTTGGATCCAGAAAGTTTCCACAGTTTTTCTTTGTTTTTTGTGAGATTAGCATTTTTGAAAACCACCATCCTTCCCCTGACTGCTACCCCATTATAACAGAATGTTCCTCAAGTTGTGTTTGTCTGATTAGGTATAGGTTATGCATTCTTGGCTGGAATGCAGAGCAGAGAAGATGCTCTTTCCTCAGGATATTATCTCTGGAGGCACATGATGTCCACCCGTCTGTCATTGATAATATTAAATACCCACAACCTTTTATCCGACATTTGTGGATGACATGAGGTGGAGGAAGGGGGAAGAGAGTTGAAAAACAAGGAGGCATATGACTCAGCATTAGTTAAGTTTCTGAGTCATCTGTGTTGCTGATTTAACCACTCCAGGTAAGGTTTTGTATAATCACAAGGGACACACACACACACACTCTCACACACCCAAGCTCTGTTCCACTTTGCATTTTTTTAGCTACCACCAAAGTCCGGTTTCAGCACATGGGACACTGGAAGAAATAATGTGGAGAGATTTTAAAATTCTGCATTGCAGCATTCCATATAATCATTACTTCCTAATAATTCCTTGGGTCTTAAAGGAGGTGGTCCCATGGCTGAGAGTTTGTGGGCACCAGCCAAGCGTGTGTATTAGCTTCAAGCAGTGGTTTTCAGCCCCACACATTATGTTCTCCTGGGTGCATTTAATAACCAGTGCTGGGCAGACCTCACCCCAGATCAACTGAATCAGAACCCGTGAAGGTGGGGCTCAGGGATGGAAGAGTTTTAAGACAAAGAACCCCCAAGATAAAGAACCACCGGCTTAAAGGTATGATTCTGGAGCTTCAATGATCCCCTAAGGTCTTTAACTTTGGGTCAAGTGCTCCCTTTAATAGCTAAAGTGTATTGAGGCCTTACTGCATGTGATGGACATCCATATATTTTGTTTACAGAGTATCCACTTTCCCTTCTTTGAGTAAAAAGCTCCCTCATTTTCCTTTGACTAACACCACCCCAACTTGCAGCTCATGTGGGTTTTGGGGGCCTTACCCTGAATCCTGTCTTCAGGGATGGACATTAGTACCTAGGCTTGGCAAATTGATCTGTTCACGAATGGTCTAAGTTAGTTAGATGAGACCTGAGCCAAGACTTTTGCTGGAATTATTGGCAAAGAGGTGTTTTATTTCCACTGGGGCTTATAGCTGAGAGAATGTTAATGTGAAGTTACCAGAGTTACTTGGTCCAAGAGTACCAAGTTACTCTTGGATAGGTCCCCTATCCAAGGGGGGACCTCGGAAAGGGGACCCGTCCAAGAGTGAGGCCAACATAGAAGAAAGCAGAAAAAGAGATGAACTTGGTGGATATTGGTTTGAGCCTCAGTCCTGGATCCAGCCATGCCTGAAGCTATCAGCTCTTAGATCTTTAAGTTATGTGAGCCAATAAATTCCTATTTTGCTTAAGGCAGTTTGAGTTGAGGTTTAAGAAGCAGGTAAGACAAATCTCAGCTATGAGGACCCCATAACTTGACCTAAGGTGGAAAGTAATCAGAGGCAGGAAAGCCTTAGAGAGGGAGGAGAGTCCAAACACTGGTCCTCTGGCCTGTGGCTGTGGGGTGTCACAATCACCCAGCTTCCCTGGGCTCCGGCTTCCTTCTCAGTGGGGCAGGGGTTGGGGGGTTGGGATAATAAAATTCAAGAAGGCATCTGGGGACTTCCCTGGTGATCCAGTGGTCAAGACTTCATGCTTCCACTGCAGGGGGAGCAGTTTCGATCCCTGGTTGGGGAACTAAGATCCCACTTGCCACATGTAGTGCCCCCCCCCCCCAAAAAAAAGGCATTTGGAGAGTTGGTGGAGCAGGAGATGTGGATGTTTCTGAAATGAAAACCGTGCTTCCTTTGGCCTCTACTTCATCTGCTCTGTTTGGGGGTATGTGCGAGCAGGACACGGCAGGAGATCTGGGCTCCTATTCAGAAGGCCACTTTCTCTGCCTCCCCTGTCCCTGTCCCTCTCCTGTCACCCAGCTTAGGCAGAAGCCATCACGCCATCATCCTTTCCCCTGTTGCATGGTGTACGTCCTCCACCCTAGCCCTCACCCTCCTGGCCTGCTGTGTTGTTGTCAGTTTAGATGACCCATAATCTGACAGTAGAGCCCATCTCCCCAGCCCCAGATGAACTCCAAAAGAAAAATGTACTAAACCATAAAATAGAATTCTATTTCCTGACACGACACGCAACACTGTATGCTACAATTATTTCCTTTTGAGATGTTCTCTTTCTTTCTTGGGGGGGGGGTGAACCCCTTCTTCGCTAGAGCCGCGACCATGTGATCGGTTGCCCACTGAGAAAACTTGAGCTGATTGTGCATGAGCACAGGCCAAAGCACCTGCCCGCTAGTCAGCCCACCAGCCCCGGAGGTGGGTACCACCCAGTGATCCCTGGTTTCCAGATGAAGAATGGAGACGCAGAGAGGAGGTGATTTGTCCACGGTCACAGAGCTACTCAGCTCTGCAGGTAGGATGTGATGCCCGGTCTAGGTCTAGCTCTCTTAATCTCCCGTGTGTTTGTCTGTCTCTCTCATCTATTAATCTATCTATCTATCTGTTTCATCTGTTGTCTCTAATCAATTGTCTATCTAGTTATCTATCTATGCATCCATTTATCTATCATCTATTTATCTCCTATCTATCAGTTCTCTCTCCGTCATCTATCAATGTATCTTTGTCTCTTACACCTGACTTTGAGCTTACCCAGGCCTGGTGGTACGTTTTCTGTAGAGTGACCTTATTTGTCACCCAAGCAAGCACACTTGGGGAACAGAAGGACGTGCCCTTAGCACTGAGGCGAACACGGGCGCTGCCCCAGGCACCCTCACCATGCCAGGTGGGGCAGTGACCGGGTATTTCTTTCTAAACCTAGCTCATCATAAGGGCTCCATAAAGGTGTGTTGAGTGTGTTTTATCAACAGTATGGGAGGGGTGGTAAGTAAAGAGCATTTGTTCTATTCAAAGAGAAACTGAATCACAAAGCCCTGACTTACAAAGTCACAGAGAGGAAGTCGCAGGTGAGGCAGGGCCAAACCTCTCCCGCAGGACTCCTCGGTTCAGGGGACACAAGGCTCCCTCCGTCAAGCACCTGTGCTCAGAAGCCAAGCTCTAGCCTCCTGGAGGGAGCTCGTGGCAAAGAAATAATAAACTAGCACTCGCTGCAGTTCACTGAATCCATGCCATGAGCCTTCCCGAAGCCCTTTACCTGCACCGTCCTACTTATTCCTTAAGGAAGGCGCAATTATTCCAAAAAAGGACACTGAGGATGCCGCCGACAAATTGCCCAGCAACTAGAGCCCAGGAGCCCAGCTGCAGGCTTGTCTTCTTCCCAGAAGGTACAACAGAGTAGTCCTGGGGGTTTGCCACGAGAAGCCCTTTCAAAAAGTTGTCTGGGAATCTTGAAAAGAGCAGTGAACGTCCATTTAGAAAGGAGCTTTTGAACCTCCTATGTTCGAGGTACCAAAACAGGAAAAAAATAACCCAAACCCAAACTTGCCTCAGCACCTCACCCCTTAGATACAGAAAAATAAATCACAAACTATGCTAAGTAATGAATTACGAACACTGCCCAGAGCAGACATCAGATCAGCTGGGACTCCAGCCCCCTTCCGTGGGGAGAGCGGAAGACGCCAGCAGAGAATGCTGCCGGAAGAATAAGGAGAGAGATGGGGGGTGGGGGGGACGGAGAGAGAACGAAACAGAAACTGGAAAAGAGGGAGTGGGGGGGAGAAACAGAGATTGAGAGGGATATTGGTGGAGGAGAGAGAGGGAGAGAGAGAAATGGGGGAGGAGGAGATAGAGACAGGAGTAGAAAAAGAGATTGAAAGAGAGGGAGATGCTAGATGACAGACGGACAGATAGATACTGAAATGCGGCCTGATGGTGCAGGGAGGGGCAGCTAAGCAACTTGTATACGGGTCCACCTCCGGTCCCTGCAGCCACCCCTTTCCAGTTCCCACCATTTTGTTCCCTGGCAGGGGTGTGAGATGCAAGACTGTTTCCAGGGCGCCCCCAAAGGGCAAAGCCAGCATCAGCGGGGAGCTCCTGGGGGCGGCCCGCTAGCCCCCCAGGCCTGGCCCAAGGGGCGGCACGGATTGAAGGGAAGACGGTTTGGACCTCCTTCCTTAGTTCTGCAAAATGGTGTCTGCGCCACGGACACGGGGGCTGCGGTGTTGCGTCCGCGGGGGCGAGTGTGCGGTTCCCTACGAGCCGCCTGCCGCCCCAACGGCTCTCATCTCCACGTTTGGATGACATGTCCTTAAAGTGACCTATATTATCTGGCACCTCGGATTGCTACTCACAAAAAAAGTAACACTGGAAGAAAAAAAAAATCCCCAACGATTGTGTAAATATTCCTTACAGAGAAGAGTAAACTCAGGTGCCCTCTGCTGGGCGAGACAGGTAGGGGCCAAGGCCAGGAGGGAAGGCAGCTGGGGGCGGGGCCTGAGTGCGGAGGTCCCTGGCATAGAGGCGGGGCCTGGCGGCCGCGGTGGGCAAAGCCTGCCTCCCCATCTCCCATTCTTGTGTGACCCACCGGCAGCCTTCAGGGCAAATGGGGCCAAGCTGAGGTCTTTGGGGCATGGGGAACGAAAAACCAAAACCGAAACTGCTTACGAGCAGATCATTCACTTTGGGAGAACTGACAATTTCTTCACTGGGATTTTCTTTTTTCCAATAAATATTGTTGGATTTGACAGGTGCGAGAGAATCAGGAAAAAAGGCAAGGGGCTTGCTGACACTGCCAACTTTTTCATCAAAGCAAAGGGCTTGGGGTCTCAGCGCAGCGAAGTCCTGCCAAAGACTGGCGTAGGGAGGCTGCCAGGAGGTGGTGGCCAAGTTCATTTCCATTCTTAAATTATTATTTATGCCTTGAGAATAAAAGAAGGTGCTATTACTGATTACAGCTGGTCAATAGGTGTAATCCAGGAGTGTCCCAGGCAAGTCAGACTCTCTAGCCCAGCATTGTCCAACAAGAACGTTCCATGATGATAAAAATGTTCTAGATCTGTGCTGCCCAACAGGGTAACATCAGCCCCACGTGGCTATTGAGCATTTGAGATGTGGCCAAGGCAACCCAGGAGACAAATTTGTAGCTTCCTTTACCTTTTGTTAATTTAAATGTATTGATTTTTTTAATTTTATTTTTCCGCATGCGGGATCTTAGTTCCCAGACCAGGGATGGAACCCAGCCCCCTACAGTGCAAGTGCGGAGTCTTAACCCCTGGACCGCCAGGGAAGTCCCTTGTTAATTTAAATTTAAATACTTGCATGTGTCTAGCGGCTAATGTATCAGACAGTAGAGCTCTGGTCATATTATTCATAGCAAAAGACCAGAACTCTGGGTGATAGCAGCTAAGGCCCCAGGCATAAGACTTGCTGAGACAGGCCCTCAGTAAGAATTGGTTGAACAAATGAAAACTCAATAATCAAAAGTCACTGTGTTCCAACTCTGCAGTGGCAGAAATTCAGACCACTTCTCAGAGATTTCCAGGAACTTCGAGAAACACAGCTTTGCCTGGGGAGAGCCAAGATCCCAGTGACATTTCCTGTCAAGTGTCCAAGGCTAACCCCAGGTCTTGAGTGTCCACCCTGGCATGTGGCACTGCAATCAGCACTTGGAAAGATTATTTGCCGCTTGTTCCCAGTGGTTTCCTGGTCGCGTCCTAAAAGCCAGTGGAGTGTCCACCTGATCAGAAAAGCCCTTTTATATTTGGGGTTTCACGAACAACTTCTAAAAATCTCTCCAGTTGTCTCCTGGTGTTATAGATTTGGAAAGAGGCGTTTTGGTTTCTAATTATAAATTCCTGGGTGATGTCACTCAGTCCCCCAACACCCACTGGGGCAATGCTAAGCAGGGAAAGACAATATGCTAACAAGTTATCTGGAGGTGTCAGAAAGAAAGGATGAAAAACAGTACAGTTTGGGGAAATGTTTTCCAGGCCGCTTTCTGGTTTTAGCAACTGCGCTGGAGGAGATAAGATACACATGGCTTTTATAAGGAGGCAGCGGGATCTCCAGGGGACATGAGGCAGGAGAAAAGAATCAGGCTGAAAGCATCCAATCATCACATATTCACTGAGAAACAGATTACAATACAGCAAAGGAAGCTCTTCAAGGAAGGACTCCTACGGGGACCTTTGGGGCAAAGATTCAGTGCGCTCTGGAACAACTTGACTTCAACTCGATGGTATTTGAATAATCGGCCAGAGAGAAAGCAGATATAGCACACACGGTCACATTTAGCGTTGAAACTTTCAGTTTGACTGTGAGTAATGATCTGCCGTGCCCAGAGGTCAGGCCGACACTCACTCAGAAACAAGTGGGGAATTGAAGCAATTATTCAGATACCCACAGACATAGCTACTGGCCAGGGTTGCATCCCCAATTTAGCCCAGAAACAGTAACACTATTATAAACTGTTTGCGATGTGTGGGGCCATCTTGAATTTATTAAGGAAAGGAGATTACAGAAAAATCCAGAACGTCAGTGGGAATGCAATCAGGTTAAGTCACATAGAGTAAAGTGGGAGATTGAGGGCCTCTTACCACCGAAAGGAACATCTTGCTTTCGGCCAAAATGGAAATAAAAATTGGGGTTTAAATATTTCAGATGGTCAGTTCTTCACATCACCCTTTATTATATGCACAGTTGCTAAATTTCATATTGGACTACATTTGAGCCAAAAGACCAAAAAATGGTGAAACAGGACATTAAGAATTTTGAAATATTTGCTATGAATAAAGTAATATCATTTCAGCTGTTAATTAGTCCCTTCCAGTGATTTTTGGTGGGCTAGCCAGAGGGAAAAATGTTTTTTTTCCTCCCTTCAAAGTAGCTTCGAATAGAATATAGTTTACCTGCCTTTAAGAGATAACCCAAATATCAGCAGCTTAAATAAGATTTATTTTTCCCGTTTAGTAAGAAATTCAGAGGCATGTTGGTGTAGCATAGATTTTAAGGCTAAATTTTTGGGTCTTTTCCTCATAGTCACATAGTTTTTCAGGTAGCAGAAAAGGAGAATGGGAAAAGAGATCACCTGAGTCTTGACCACCCCCCTACCCACCCAACCCCCAAACTTGAAGGAGCCTTTTGAGAAGGCCCCCCAACCAATGACTTCTGACATCTCATTGGCCAGCACCATGTTACACGGCCACGTCTACTTGCAAAGGAGGCTGGGAAATGTAGTTTTTAAAGCTAAAGTTTCTAAAGCCCCCACCCCCACCCCCCTTAAAGTTGATATTCTGTTAATAAGAAAGAAGGGAGACTGGATATGGGGTAGGCATCGAGTAGAATTTACCACTTCAAAGCATCTTAAAACAAATTAAAACAATTTTATCTAGTTTTACAAAAATAATCTTGATAGTCATTATGAATGACTTATTTGTAACTAAGTACCATGTAGTAAAACAATGCTCATACCTACTATTAAATACGTATATCAAGGAAGAAGACCAGTTAGTTAAAAGGAGTGAGTGTGTGTGTGTGTGTGTGTGTGTGTTCTGCAGGAAGGTGAGCTGCATTTTTACTGCATGATGATTTTCAGGACATTCCTCCTGGGGTGTTACATGAAGTAGGTGTGACTTTGTCTGTCAGCCCCTCAGTCTCCTTCCATTAGAATCAGAGCTGAGTGGGGTCCTCCTGAGAACTAACTTCAGGAGGAGTTTCTTAAACCTGAAACGCACTGTCTAGAGCAAGCTCGACTTCATTAGCGATTTGAAGAGAGATTTATGGAGCCAAACGTACGACCTCTCTGAACGGAGTGCGTCTACCTTGGTTTAAGTAACTAAAACAGTCATGGTATTTGAGTGGTGCTTAGATTCAGGTGAGAAACAATTTTTTTGTGAGTCAGGAACAAAAAGGGGAGTCGAAAAGAGGGGCTGGGAATTGAGGCTGGGGGCAGAGGGGCCAGATAGCACAGGGTCTCCTGTGCACGCTAACAGCTTGGGCTTCAGCCTGTGGCTCAGGGCTGGCAGACGCCTTCAGGGCCAGCCAGTAACACAGGTACATGAGGCTGGTCAGGGTGAGAAAAGAGGGGCGGGGGCAAAGCCCCCAGCTCTCCATGGTGACAGTCACTGCTGGGCTCCGGGCAATTAATTCCATGTGAAGCTGCAGACCCAGTGCTGCCAGGCAGATCTTTCAGGAAAAGCCCAATATCTGAAGGTTTATATGAAATCCGATTTGGTTATGTTGGGTCAGATCTTACAATGCTGGGCCAAATGCTGATTCAACGTGGCCGTAGCTGGCAACTTTGCTTTGGGAGCAATGTGATGCTACTAAAACTCTGAGCAGGTTGCGGGGGGTGGGGTGGGGGTGGAGGTGGGCTTGAGAACACTCTAGAACAGTGAGGAGGGTAGCACAAAGGTGGGCCAAGGAGGATGCTCTAGGCCCAGGCAGGGCGGGGATTTGGTGAGCTTCGGAGTTAAGGCAACGGCAGTGAGGATGGAAGCGTGGGCCGAATTCTGGCACAATTTCTTAGGCGGAATCAGAGGATTAGTGACCGATGGGATAAGGGACGGGCCCAAGGAAGGCAAAGGGGGATTTGAGAAAGGGAGTGATTATATCACTATTTCAGGTAGAAGTTCCCATCTGGCATCTTGGCAGCTGAATCATCCTCAGAGGTGTGTTGTGTGGACCACATGGGGTTACAGTTTCTTTTAAATTAATTTCCTATTCTTGAAAAATGTGAGCATTTATATACCAATCTAGATTTCCAGCTTCTTTTGAAAGAAAAAACTATCTGAGAGTATTAGACGTGGATTCCAAGAAAGCAACAATGGCTGGAGCTGGGGGTGAATTGGGGCTTGGGTGGTAGGGGAGAGGTTCATGGACTCCCCACTATTTCTTTTACCCGCCTGGTTCCTATACATATTTCAGCCTGTGACCCCCTGAAGGAGCTGGTTGTGCAAGCCATGGGATATAAGAGATTGCTCAGAGAAAGAAGTGAGGAATTCCAGGCAAGAGCCACTTCAGGACAGAGTAGAGGATGATTGCAAAGGGGATTTACAAAAGATAGGCTGGGAGAATGAAAAAGCAACAGGAAGAAGTAGAATAAGAAGTAGAGGGGTAGTACTCCCTCACACCACATCCAAAAATAAACTCAAAATGGTTTAAAGACCTAAGTATCAGACATGGCACCATAGAACTCCTAGAAGAGAGCATAGGCAGAACATTCTTGGCTATAAACGTAGCAATATTTTCTTAGCTCAGTCTCCCAAGGCAAAAGAAATAAAAGCAAAAATAAGCAAATGGAACCTAATCAAACTTAAAAGCTTTTGCACAGCAAAAGAAACCATCAACAGAACAAAAAGACAACCTACGCAATGGGAGAAAATATTTGCAAATAATGCTACCGACAGGGGCTTATTATCCAAAATATACAAACAGTTCATACAACTCAGTATCAACAACAACAACAAACAACACCAAAATGGGCAGAAGACCTAAATAGACATTTCTCCAAAGAAGACATACAGATGGTCAACAAGCACATGAAAAGATGCTCAACATCACTAATTATTAGAGAAATGCAAATCAAAACCACAATGAGATATCACCTCACATCGGTCAGAATGGCCATCATCAAGAAGTCTACAAATAATAAATGCTAGAGAGGGTGTGGAAAAAGGAAACCCTCCTACACTGTTGGTGGGAATGTAAATTGGTGCAGCCACTATGGAGAACAGTATGGAGGTTC